GGTTCCTGATGTCCTCCTGCAGCCCATCAGGCCTTCTGTCATTAGTGTGCAATGCATAAAAGCTGTTCTTGAGATGGTCTCCAAATACAGGTGCGATAGACTCGCGGTGGTATTTTGGCTCTTGTGGACTTATTTTAAATTTCTTCAGTGTCAACCTGATCTTACATGTGACCAATTGATGGTCTGTTGCAGTCAGCCCCTCATCTGTTTTTAGCTGCTAATATTGAACTTATTCATCACCTCTTCCTACAAATGTAGTGTATTCCATCTGGAGAAGTCCACATGTGGACATCTTTGATGTTGCTGAAGAAAGGTATTTGTGATGAACATGTCGTTGGTCTTGTAAAATTCTAAAATGGGATATACAGCTACCTTTCTATCACCAAAGCCATATTTTCCAATCACTGTTCCTCCCTCTTTGTTTCCAGTTTTTGCATTCCAATCACCAGTAATTTTCAATGCATCTTGATTGCATGTTTGATCAATTTCAGATTGAAGACATTGGTCGAAGCCTTCAAGTTCTTCCTCACTAGCTTTGCTGGTTGGGGCATGCATTTGAGTAACAGTTGTACTGATTGCATCTCCTTGAAGGCAGACAGATATGGTCCGAGCACAGTCAGCACTGTACTTCAAGAGGAGTCTTGAAGTGTCCTTTCCGACAATGACTGCGGTGCCCTTGCCCTTGATGGTGTCATTCTGGGCACAGTCAAACCATAGGACTTTCTGATTCAACATGTCCAATGCCAGTCCATTTTAGTTCACTAATGTCTAGGTTGGTCAACTTTTATGCATTCCATTTCATTCTTTACAACTTCCAATTTTCCTTGATCCGTACTTCATACATTCCACGTTCCGGTTATTAATGAATGCTTGCAGCTGTTTCTTCTCGTTGTGTGTGGTACTCCATCAGCAAATGAGGGTCCTGCAGGCATTTCCATCTATGTCATTTCCACCTCAGTATGACAGACTGACAGGCAAGTGGTGGGGGAGCCTCATAGTGATTCCATAATGAGCAGAGCAGGCTCGGGGGATGCTGGGGACAGGCAGTCAGAAGACAGGGC